TTCTGGAAAAAGGTTACATTCTCTTTGTCAAACAAATGTCATGTGAGAGTCCTTACTGCAATTCCTTTCAAATTGAATAACTTCTCCTTCTTGTTAATTCCAATCATAAGCTTTGCGAGTTGAGGAATATAGTGGCCTGGAATCGATGAGAAAGATGAGGCGCAGTAATATTAAAAATGTTTGCTGTTTATAGTTGAATTAAAAGAGATGGAAATTGGTGTACACAAGAGCATATAGTACCTGCATAACTTTCCCCTGCTATAAACAAATCTGTGCTCCTGTATTGAGGGAACTTGTGGAACCAGCCTTGCAAGAACAATAGATTGTCCCTGGCTTAAGAAAGCAAAAATAAAAGCAGCTTCAGAAGATAGCACAACACTCTAGAGTGCTTTATAAAGCTATCAATGATACTTTAAGGAGATTAATAATGCATCTCAACATTAACCTAAAGCCAAAAAACCTATCCAGTAATAATAGAAAATGATTTTCCTATTTTATTTTCATCTTTTTTTTCCAGTTTCTCCTCTTAAGTGAAGAATCAAAAATATATTAATTCATCACATAAATCTTGAATAACATGTTGCTTCATACAAAAAACTCTTATTACATCTAGTTGGATTTTCGACCTCTACTTCAAGTATATATTACTTTCCATTAAACATGGATGTCCTAAAAGGAATTTTTTGTGCATGTTGTCTTTCACATTCCATCATTTAAGTTTGGATTTTAACTTGTGGTTAATTTATATGTACGGTATCATCTTAATGAATTTTGTACTCGGAGTGGAAGAATAAGAAGCAAGTATGAATCTTTTACCTATGGACATTCATCATTATGATAATTAAAATGTGTTTTGGTGCATTGAATGCTAGGTTTAACATCTTAAATGTTACTCTAAGTTATCCTATACGGCAATAAAAATTAATTTCAATTGCTTGTTACAATTTTACATGATTTTATTTTGATATAACATAGAGTTGATCGATTATTTATAAAATATGATAAAAAAAATATAACTTCTCATTGTTTATAATGCTAATGCAGTGCAAGAAGATATTCAAACAAATATGTCTCAACAACAACAAATGAGTTTGGTTATAGAATTCAACTTTGAAAGGATTATAATAATCATTAAAAAATTTATTGTATCTTAATTAATATTATTAATGGGTGTCAAACTTTATTATTAATAGATATGAAAATAGTGAAAATATTTTATTATTGTTGTGTTTGTTGTTGCATCTCATTTAATCTAATTAATTGAATTTTTTTTCAGAACAATGATAGATAAATAAATGGACATAAATGGACAGCATCCTTAAGATGAGGAAAAAAATATTTATGTTAGTCAAAATGTAAAGAATATCATAGAAAATAGGTTTGATTTCAACATGATTTTCATTTTACCTGAATGAAAAATAGTTTAATACTAACACATCTTTTTAGCCTTTTGATTTGGAAAAATGTTATGACAATAGATATATTTTCTGGTTTTTTATTAAAAAGAAAAACTTGGAAAAGAGAGAAAAAAACTGAAAATAAAAAGGAGGAAAATTGTTTTTTGTTAGGAGATGCGGCCTGTACTTCTATCCTGGAGATTGATACTCTAGGCTACAGTTTGGCGATAAAGCTTCCGTGACAATGAGTTCATTCGTGCCACTCAACAAAAGGAATGAGAGAAATTTTGAAGTTAAAGTTGATGGACTGTACCTGTTGCCTCATCATCTACTGCTACAAAAGAGGAGCTATTTGTAGCATAAGAAAATCCCACGCCTACTGGTGTCTCCAAATATAACATATTTGCTTCTGCAATACATTTTGGACATGAAAATGTTCTTCAACTCTATGATCACGTTTGAATTTTCAAGAGAGAGAACCAAAGATGAGACTGTGTTAGTGTACCTCTATTCCAGCTATGCTCATTTCTAATCAGAACTCTTCCCTCTGGCCTAAAAGGTCCATTCTCAGAGAATGCCCCTAATCCCAGAGAAGAACAGCCAGGCCCTACAAAATACAGATATGGCACATCAATTTACAACTCCCATTTTCAAATCAAAGAAGGTAGCTCAATTTTCTTTCTAAACAGTGCACATTAGTCAGTTGATTCATTTGTCTAGCCTTGAATGTGAAGCAAAGCGAGTAGCAACAAACCTCCGTTCAACCAGAGAACCAAGGGCCTGGATTCTGGATCTATTTCTGCTTCAACAAAGTAATAAAAAAGAGCTCTGTGCTCGTTATTATCCACAGTGACATAACCTGAAAATTGTTGGAACCCCACATGGGGTTGTCCAGGAAGCCTGACAATCTTATCAGGATGAGGTGAAGAAGAATCTACACCCATGGAAATGCTCAGCTGAACCACTAGTGCAGCCATTGCCATGGATTTCCATGTTTGAGAGTGCATAATTTCAGAAAGTGAAAATGACTTCGAGACAAAGTGTTCCAAGAGAATGGCCTGTTTAAAATGCTGTCCCAGTAGGACATAGAGTCGAGGGTGGGGTATTAAATAATAAATAACTAGGCTTGTTTTATAGTATCATTACGTCTCTAGCTTTTTGCCTGCAGGCCTGAAAATGGTGTGGTTGAAAGAGATGTGAGAGAGACTCAAATAACTAGAGAGAGCTGTGCTAGTGCTTACTACTAGGGCTGAGTCAGTGCATATGGTTGGCATTTTGAAAGAGATTATGGAATCTCTTCTGCTTTAAATATTGGACCCTTGAACTCTCTCACACAAATTACAGTCAACTTTGTTTTGGTTTGGTTTTTCATCAGTGCTATACCGACCAGGCAAGTAGGCATCCACAAAAGTATCCGGTATCCTTCTATACTATCGTAAAAAGACAGGGGATGTTCCCTTAGAAAGTGGCTTTCCTGGATTACTTTTCAATTCTCAAAAATAAGTGGAACTGAACAATATTTATCACTTTCTCAAGAAAGCGTCCGGAGAGAATAGCATGGCAGTATTTTCAAGGCATTGGCAGGACTTATCAGCCTTGACAGTTTCTTTTTTGTTTTACTAGAAAATGGCTCGATCGATCTATCTTGAACTACAAGTACAATTCTAAATCTAGTTCTCTAGTGTTGAGAAGACTTGGGAGATGTTCACATGCATGGTCCTGTTTTGGTATTTCAAAAAATTGATACAGTCACTGAAAGTAAACGCATCTTGGTGGTAGCACTTCATTTTGTTGTTTCAAAGTCCTGCATTTTCTTAGATTATATAATCTCAATGTCTAAAAACTCATAGATCTCAATGATGAGAGTGATTTGTGAAGATGGGAACTGGTCCTTTAACATGATGTTTCTTCCAAAAAGTTCAGTTAGCACAAGCATACACTCCCCAGACTTTGCTTTCTTCTACTGCTATTTTCACATGTTCTTTTTGTACTTGTACACGATTAGGACTTTATATTAATGAGGTCTCCATCCTTTTTGTTTTTTTAGGGGGGAAAAAAAAAGTTTTCTTCTTAGATACAAAGGTAAATGGTCGACTCCAAACACACCACATGCTCATCATCATAGCTTCAAAACATGTCATTATAGCTTCTAATGGGTCCTCACTCTCTTAATTATATCAATAAATGAGTTTAGCCTATGGTCTAAAATTCACCACCACACCAGTACTCTAATGTGTCGCATATCATGGCTATAGAGAAGGGTAATCGATGCTAGTCATGGATTGCCTACAATAATGGGCAAAAGACCAATGCTTTATGCAACTTGTGTACCAATCGCAACTACACAAAAGAGATAACCTAGGGAAGATGAGACTGGCTGGCATTGAGAAATCTCGGACACAAATACTATGATGCCTGGAGTTGGGACCGCTATTAGGAAAAGCTATAGAGCGTGGGGCACTACTGGAGATAAGAAGGGAAGGAAACTCGTTTTGGAGACAAACAAACAAAAACATGGCAAAATCCCATCCCTTGTATGATGGCTGGCATTGCTATGTTGCTGTCCAGTTTGAAAGAAATGGACCCAAGTTACTGAAATTTTAACCAGAGCATCATCATTTCTATCGGTGATTTATAGGAATTTTTCTTCATCATCCCCACCCCAAATGTGTTTGTTTATAAGACGCAATTTGAAGAGAAAATCCTACCACAGTAATCGACACCAACAACGAGAGGTTGGCTAAAACAGAGTTGGAGAGTGTGAGTGCGGAGAGTGGTTACGTTGACCCTCAAACTCTTGCAATGAAAACAGCGAAGGTTCACCTTTTCCCTTTCTTTCTTTGCTTCCTCTTTTCACTGAGCAGCAAAGATTCACCTTTTCCCTTTCCCTTTCTTTCTTTGCTTCCTCTTTTCACTGAGCTCCTTTCTGTGTTAATTTATTGTTACGCAGCGACGAAAAGCTCATCAACTTCTTTTATTTTATTTTATTTTATTGAAGCCTTCATAGGAGTGCAAGGTAAGTTCTGATTCTGCCCTTGTCTTATTAAATGAATACTACTTGCCCTATGTTAAGACAATTTTAGGAGTGTTTAAAAAACATTAGCTAATGCATTATTGACTCATTAAAATTAGATAATATTGATATTGTAAGGGATCAAAAAACCTATAAAACAGATATTGAGTTAAGATTTTTAAGACCCAATCAACTCAATCCATATAGCCTATACTCCTAATTTATAAAAAAAAAAAAAATTTATTTTATTTATAAATGTTTCAAATCCAAAAATTTTGTTAATAGATTTTTTATTAGATTCCTTTAACATAACACCAAAAAAAAAAAAACTTGTCTTTTGTTTATAGAGGGAAAGAAAAAATAACTAGAATTTAAAAATATCATAACACCTACAACACCTACAATCCATGCTGTAAATCCATTTAAATCCATCTTTAACTGTAGATCCATGAAAATAAATCAACTTATAGATATCTGTACTATCCACAAAAAATTTAGCTAAACTTTAAGTCTCAAAAAAAAAAAAATCAAGTTTATAATTTATAAAAATATTAAAATAATTATAAACCCAAACTTTGCCCACTATATAAAAATATATGTATTTTTATGAACACCCCTCGAAAATAATATATAGAAAAGGTCTTGTGGCAACGTGGGAGCCATTAGGCCCGTTATAGGACTTGGGCTGACAAAGTAGGAAAAAAAAAAAACTGAAAAGGCCACCACAAACAATTTTAATGCCAGATCATATTAATCGGCAGGAAACTTGCTGGTTTTTTAGGACCAGCCAAAATAAAATTGGCAGAAAAAATGAAAGAACATGCAAGGTAAAATACAAGCCTACTCTCTATTACACTCGCAAAGTTGCTGCTCTATGCTCAACATGAGGGGGAAAATCAGCGGGAAACCCTGCAGGTAAAGGCCTAGTGAAATTTGAAGATAATACATTCTGCGAATTTTCAAACGAAATAGATGAACAGGGAAAAAAAAATAATTATCGTATACTGAACAGTTTCTTGAATTAATATTTCCATGTAGATGCGCAAAGTGACATTAAACAACGGTTTTTGCCTTCTTCATATGAATGGCATAAATACAAAATTTAAGTTGTAAAGGAATCCCTAATTTCACACACTTGGACTCATCCACACAATTTCTGCTGTGTAAGAGTTTGAAGGGGATTTGTAGCGATAATTGAATGTGGAGAAGAAAAATATATACGAAAATGAAAATTGCATGTATTAAAATTGACACCAACAACTTACAAGAGAAAATGGAAGGAAAGAATGTGGCTATTTAAACTGGCACCCGTTATGAAGAGAGCTCTGAATCTGTGCGTTTATGGTTAGCAACTGGGGCAAAAGAAGAGTGGTCAATTTCTCTCCGAGATGCTTCCCATAGCTGTTGCTCTATGCTCAACTTCCTTAGCTCCACTATGCCTCGCTCAACTGCCACAAGGACACCACGTGAAAACATCATTGAAGCAAAATGTAGATAAGATTGCACTACCAAGTCTTCCAACATATATATATATATATATATATATATATATATATATATATATATATTATCTAACATAATTTAACAATTTTTTTTTAATTTCACGTCATTTTACAATTTCATAACAACCATTAACACAAGGATTTCCAAGTCATTCAGGATGGTGGAGGGATTTTATGACTGTCTATTTGAATAATAGGTAAGCTGGCCCAATCAATATTGGATCTGAAATACCTACAAGTTATCAACTCAAGCAATATTGGATCTGAAATAACCCCAAGTTACCAACTCAAGCAACCACGTGCACAATGTAAACCATTTTTATTTTAATTAATCTCCATCAATAGTCCCACTGTAAATGAGATTGAAGCAAAAAGAAAAGAAAAACATTCATGGACCTAGATAACAAGTTATCATCAATGGACCACGAGGACTGTTTTTTAAATAGGTTTTTGCAAATGATACCTTGGACCATAAATAACTAAATAAAGCATAAAGGAAAAGAAAGAGGCACATAATTAGAGCCTGTTTACTAGAATTTTTGCTATATTTTGTTATAAGAGCATTTAAATTACCATCCACAGCATCATGTGAAGTCAGTGACTGCCCACTACGACTAATCCAAAACTGAAGCCTGTCTTCTGCAATATCTTCTTCCACACCATGTACTAAGGCTCTTCTCCAATAATAAGTTAGCCAAGCCTGCACATAAAAATTGAAGCATTCTTTAATCAACATATAAATAAATTCTGGTACTAACCAAATGTCACAATAAGCAGATAACTAGAAGCTAGCCATACTCATTATGAACCACATATTTGCAAACTCGATCATTTCAAATGCTATAAGCACATAATATTAAAAAAGTTCAGAATGAACAAACAAACAAGGCAGCCTTCCATGAAATGAAAACATGAGAAATAAGACAGATTTGAGAGAATTTAGGTAAATGGTTTTGATGGTTATCAAATTCAAGTGTGCCCAATACCATAATTTATTAGCTCACCCCATGCATGGAAGAGCAAATAGAAAGTTAAAATGTAGGGAAACACGTCTAGAAAGGCCTAATCCCAAAGGGTAATATTGAGTGTCCAGATAGGTTGTGGAAATTTTGGTATGGCCTTGTGGAAGAAAATGACCTGAGAGCATAACATTGTTTTGTAGGTATTGTTGTTGTTGTTGTTGTTGTTGTTATCCCAACATATAAAACCGGTCAGTGGTAGTTATAGAGTAAATCATATTTATTTAGAATTCTTTTAGGCTTAGGTTAAACTTTCAAGTTTGGATGCTTTAACAGTTGGAAAACATAAATACACTGATGGATTGAGGTCTAGGATTCCACTCTAGCCTAAAATAATTTATCCAAACTAATAAAAGTATAATACAGACCTCATGCATGCGGACCTACAATGGCATTGCAATACTAAACTAGAGGTAGAAGATGAGATCATGAAAAGGTGCAGTACACGGGAGAAGGAAGATCTTTCCTCTCTATGCACATGATGACAGAAGAAAATAAATGATGGCTTTGTATTGTAACAAAGACCTGTAGCATGACTAAAATTGTAAAAAAGAAATACATCAACGAGAAATAAAAGGACAAGTAAGACAGCAGCTGACCTCTTTGAAAAGAACATCGTCTGCCTCCGCTTCACTTAATTCTGCAGTGAAAACAAGAGGGGGCTTGTAAATTTTATTTCATGAAACATAAATTATTTGACAGATGAGTTACACCACTTACCAATGGCCTCAGTAAACTTGGGATCACCTGGTGGTCTCGAATCTGGAAACCAAGAAAAAAAGAGAGGAGAGATAAATGCCAGGATATCATTTTTTTTTTTTTTTAAGAATTGCTTCCAAAGGTAGCATACATTACCAACATGAGTCCAACAATTAGATCTAGGATGGATAAAAATTTTCAGCAAACTCAGCAACTTTTATTGGATACCGGATCTTTGTATTCCAAATCAAAAGACTATCATAACACTCATCACAAACACTCTAAGAAAGATGCTAGAAAAATTCATACCACACAAAGGATGCATTATATTGAAATGCCATAAACATGCCATTAGCAGAGAAATTCAACCAACGCAATTGATTAGCACACAAACTAATCTGCAGAAGACAAGAGGAAAATATACCTGAGAAGTTTTGTCGAACCGTACTTGGTCGTCTGTGTTGAGCCAGAGCAAGTACAACTGCATCCTCAACCTTAAAACAGGGCGAGGTGGGACGTTAACAGAATAAAAAAAAAATTAATTCAATAAATTGCATATTATTTCAAAAGTACTAGAGATAAAAGATATCATTACAAGCAATTCTTAAAATTCATGTCAACTGATGAAAAATGCAAGCAAAAAACATGCACATAAAAGAAAATGAAGCTAAAATAACTGACAATAAGGTTCAAGAATTATTCAATGAGCAAACATGGTACATGAACGCTATTTCAAAAGTGCATGACAGTAAAAAAAAATCACCACAAACAATTCTTGAAATTCATGTCAAATGAAGAAACAAACTCATCGTAAACTACAAAATATATAGTTTTACAAAATGCAATTGACAAACAAGTACATCAAAGAAAATAAAACTAAACTCACAATGAGGTTAAAGAATAGTTTGTTTGTAAAAAATACCTTTAAAGAAGCTAATTCCCGCAATCCCATTTCAACTGAAAGCATACTCTCAATATTTCCTTCTCCAGTAAGATCACTCAAATCACGAACTATTTTACTCCTATCTGAATCACGACCACCTGTTCCATTTATACAACATAATAGATTATAGGACTAATGAATGGCAAGTAATGAAAATATTAAACAAAGAGAACTGCAAATAAGCTAATAAGCAAACTAACCTCTATCTGACTCCTCCTTAGCCTTTTGTCCAGCAGAAATGACAACTTCAAATGGAAGAGGAGCTAGAGCAGACCAATGCTCGTGCTTAGACACTGCTACATCTGCACAAATCCCTGAAGAAACAGAACAAACAGAAGAAAAGGCAGTTCAGCAGTAACCAAAGGACTCAGTTCAAAGCTTGGGCATGTGTATGAAACAATAATGTTAATGTTTTTGCTCTTAGCCAAGCCTGAAGAATGAAGAGATCGATAGTGCCCAGGATAGAAAGCGTAACCATCAAGTGACTAACAGGTCTGTCATGGTACAAGATCACAGATGAACACCAAATAGACCCAAAATAACAATAATGTACATATTAGGAGTGTTTAAAGCATCTGATCCATCTACATCATCTGACCCAACCTGACCTACCTATGATTATTGAAAGGTTATCCAACCTGTCTCGTCCAACCCATTCAGGTTTTATACAGATTATAATGTTGAAGAAAATCAAGAAGTCAGCTTGTATACAAAATATGGCCAAACCCAACCCAACAGATGCACAACCCTAGTGCATACCAAAGATGTGGGCAATAGAGTGATGACAACCACAATCCACTAACAAAGAAAGGTTTAAGAAAGGTCTTGTATGATTGCTATCCAGTGTTGATAAAAAGTTTAGAAACCCATCAAATTGCACTAGCATATGCAATAAACTAACTGGCTTAATGCAATAAACTAACTAGCTTAATGCAACACCATCTGGATATGCCCCTACAAACAAATACATGTAATTCAAAACATGCAACCATTTTGCCTCTTAAGCAGGAAAAGATTATATCAAGTTGATTACCATGTTGTACAGCTAAACCCCAGTAACGCGCAAGCCAACATCTCTTCAAGACAACCTCCTCCTAAATGATATGTGCAGCAAACAGTTAACATCCATAAGGCTAAATATAAACATCAACTTCAATTTAATGTACACACCATCTCTTCCTGAGTCAAAATCATTCTTTGTGTCATCATGCGAAGAGATTTCGTTTCAGATTCAGCTTCTTGGAGCTGTTCAGCAGCTGCTGCAGCCTCATCTTTCAAGTTCTGGTTTGAAAAACAGGATTATGCTTTACAACTCAAGGTAACTGATGACAACAAACACCAAATAGCAGAATTATCATACCCTACCTCAAGTTCTGTACGAAGGGTTGCAATTTCTGCATCTCTCCCATCTGTCGATTGTTTTGCAGCTTTAAGAGCAGCCTGCAACAAGAAATTTCTCAGTAATAAAACAGAAACTGTGGATAGAAAAAGATTCAGCAGCCCTCAAAAAAGACAAGAAAAGCAAGAGAGCACTTCAATAAAAGCGGTAGGTTTAATTGACACTGTTAGCCCAATCCCAAAAAAAAGATGAAAATAGGTATTCAAAAAAGGCTCAATGGACCAGCAACAGGTTTACATTCCTGAAGAACATGGGGAATAAAAAATGAAGTAAAACTACTCCACTGTCAAAATCATATCTGCTCCACTGGCATGTAGTACCCAAACTCACCTCTCTTTGACGCAATGCAGCTTCCTTCCTAAAGATTAAAAGGGAAAAAAATCAGAAACAGGAAATTAAATAAACTGCAGAACAGACAAAACCAACCAGGCTTACCGGCTCAACAGTTTAGCTTCTAAGGATACACCTTCACCAAGAGCAGCAACCTATTAATAGAGAATCAGAAAGGGAATGATCTCCAAATCATTGGCAAAAACACAACCAAGCAGGAAAATTTAGGGTGCTTTCAACCACCAAACTGGTTTAAGCTATAATCCCAACCAAATTTGAGCATTTGCAGCAACCCAAGTTAATCAAGTGGTGAATTAAAAATATGCTGAGGCATGTTAAACAGTGTCACATGAATATTGAATTTGAGAACAAAAGAAGAATAACCTTCACACGAATTTTTGGCAAATAACCTAGAGTGGCCAGACATGAGAAGGCAATTGGATCAACAAACATAGCCATATAAATGACTACATAAAGAGTTGTATACAAGCATATAACTGGATATTGCTAGATAAGAACCATGCAGATCTTAAAGCACACAATTACATGCTCAGAAAAAAAAAAAGCAGTATACACTGGTTCACAACTGTTATGAGATTAACAGAAGTTTCGGACATGAGGAAAAAGGAAATACAGTCAAATAATCAAAGTCATGCAATGCATATGATATTTTGAATGTTTAGATATGTTTCCTAAAAGCTGCACGGCCCTCGTTCCACAGATAAGCCCTATCCGCATGTCATCTGAAATAAAATATCCATGCTTCATAGAAACTTCCTGAAACATATTCTAGACTTCTTAATTGTAACGAGTACCAGCAATGAAATAATAGTATATTATCTTGTGAGTTACTGAACAGAAAGAGCACTGCTCAGCTTGCTTGCTTTCCTAGCACACACACCAATTAGATAGCAGACACAGTCCCCTAGGAACTCATCAAACTGAACTGGTAGAGTGAGACCTTCACTCAATATGGCTTTTTTCAGTGCTCTTCTCTAGGTGTGCTTCAAAACATCCCCTTGTACTGTAGAGCCATTTCTTTTTTTCTTCTTTTTTCCCTTTTCCCATCAAAGGGTACTGTCTTTTTCTCCAGTCAACCAAGCATATAAACAATTTTGTAAACCGGTCCAGAAAAAGACAAAAGCAAGAACATATGCTTGACACTGATAAGAGACCAAGACTGCTTTGCAACTTAAATCAAAGTCAACATACTGAACAAGAGATTACAAATAAAAAAGCAAAAGACTAAAATGATAAAACTTGCCTGTTTCTCAAGCTCCCTAGCTCTAGCCTCTGCCTCCTCACGTTTTTCTTCAGCACTCCGAAGCTGAATTGAAAACTCAGGTATAAATGTTAAAACATCAAAGGACAAGGGCATAACAAAAATTTAATTTTTTGGGTGTGATTGCAGACCTTGTCATGTATAACTTCATTTTCTTCTTGTAGCATATCAAGCTGCAAAATTTAACTCATTTTAGCTTCAAAACAACTTGGTTCAAACTATTCTATAGCTTTGTTCAAAAAATAAAAGACATTGCATGTCTATTATCAACTATTGGTCAGAATGACATACTTCATCACGAAGTGCTGATGCTTCACGCTGATCTCCTGCATCAGTCTTAAGTTGTCCCATATCTGATGTGAACCTGCAGTAATTGGCAGCAATGATATTCCAGTACTCAGATGCAAAGCATTAATTCAGTGCAAACAAATAGAAGTCTACACTCAAGTTGCCAATTGATAAATGGATGAACTTAAACAACCATAAGCTCTTCATTAAGCAGATCCATAGTCTTCACACAAAATATTAAAAGCTAAGCCTATAGCTTAAAGGTGCCAAGAAGCAAAAAAACAGAAAACGAAAAATTACGTTAAGAGCCAATAAGTTCACTGACCTCTTATTATCTCTACTCCTACTGGATGGAGGATCGATAGGAGGTATAGAAATGGGAGTTCTTAGTGACTGTTTGCTAGGTGGCACTACTGTCGCTGTACGAACTGACATTGATGACCTTCCAGCTGATGTAGACCGAGCTGAAGGCACATTCTCCATAAAGTTCCGACCTAGCTAATTAAAGTTACCAATCTCCAATTAGACTAAATCATTCAAACCTTAACACACATGCGTGCGCGTATAAATACATATATAACCTCAAAAAACCAAAAATGATCTCCAAACTCAAGTTTAACAGAATTGAAATCTGATAATTGAAATTAAAAATGAACGTAACTGACACGTAATTATCCATATAAAAGCATTAAATATCGAAATTGCCACTGCAAGCAGAGACCTGTATATCAATATAGCAACTACAACTAGCACTAGTTCTCATAAACTCTTTCAATCAAGAAATTCAAATTCAAATCAAATTATTCTTTTAAATTTTGAAAACGCATCTTGCAAGCCATTAAGCGCTCGAAATTACCGCAGGAGACGGAGATCTATTAGGTCTTGTAACCGAAACACCATTATTACTCCTTCTATGGTTTACACTACTAAACCCCGACGAAGCAGAAACCGGATTCGGTGGAGCAGGGAATCGGAACCCTAGATCGTCGTCGTCTTCGTCGTCATCCGCCGTCTGCGATGACGCCATCACCTGAGCTAGCCGCTGTGCAGCGGCCTTAGCGGCAACGTTTTGTGTGCGCTTGATTGTTGACATGCTTGAACCTAGCCGTGAGTTCGGGTGTGCCGGTGACATCCTCGCCGGCGATGACGATCCCGTACTGCTTGAACCTCGAGAATCGCTGCTCCACTGCCGTGCATACACCGGACTTTCAGTCCTCCTCCGATCCATTTGTGTGCAAGGATTTTAAATCTCTTTTTGTATTTATATGTATTCGTATGTTTATTATAGGTGTAAGTATTTTTTTTATGTCTGTTAGAGAAGCGAAGATTTAGAGAGAGCTGGATTTTTTGTCGAGGAAATCAAGGGAGAGAGAGCTAGAGGAGGAGGAGGAGGCGGCGGTTGCATGATTTCGGAGCTGAGTCCATTAGTTGTTGAAACTTGAAAATGAAAACGAAATAATTGTGTTTTCATTTTAATGAAACAACAAATCAGCACCTTAAGTATCAAAATATTTCAATTGGAGTATCCAGAATTCAAATTTAAGAAAATCCTATATATGTGTGTGTGTATTTTAATAAATTGTTTTTGATTATACATAATGATAGGTAGAAACTAGCGGTGTTTGAGGGGTAATTTTACTTCATGTGTGTGTGTGTGTGTGTGTATTGTAATAAATTGTTTTTGATTATGCATAATGATAAGTAGAAACTAGAGGCGTTTGAGGGGTAATTTTACTTCAATTGAAACTTTAGTAATCTATTTGAAACACGTATTAACTGAGAAAATTATAGTTTTATCAAGTTTAGGCTAAAACGACGTGCCGTTTGAACATTGAAAGGGGCTGTCGCTGTTGCGAGTTTCGTGGGAGACGATTTGTAGTGGATTGTGAGTGGAAAATGGGGGGATCCAATATAATTGATGGATCTTGAAGCGATAAGCGCGGGGGTGACTTGTCCGATATTTTTACTCTCTGCTCGTATATCGGTGATCTGTCAGTGGGTTTCGGACAGAGTATGTTTTGGCGGCGCAGTAGATTTTTCTTTATTCGGTCAACTTTTTCTTTATTCGGTCAACTTTGTCTCTCTTTTTTTATAATCAGAAACGGAAAGGTGCACGCTATGTGGTGTCTCTCTTTTTTTAAATCAGTATAGTGTCTCTATTTTTACACCATGCATTCCCATCTTGTTTTTCTCTCCTTTTTTTATCTTTCATTTTTTTCATTGGTTAATAAATTTTATTTTCTATTTTATTCTTTACACATGCATTTGGTGATGGAGCTTAATTATTTATTTTGTAATGTTTTTTATTGGGTTATTGGTGGTAAAAAAATTTAGTATTGGATTGGTTATTGATTTTTAAAAAAAAAATGCTATAGTTTAATTATTTGTAAAAAAATAAAAAATAAGGGGCTTAAAATTGAGAGTTGGGTAAAATGGCAGCCCTTGAAAACAAAAACTTTTCTTGATCCTTTACTTTTTTTTATTTTAATTATATTTTTTTTTTAATTTTATTATAGTTATATTGTATTGACTACTAATTAAACTTGATAATTTATTTTGTATTATTTGCTACCAGGTTATAGTATTTAAAAAATATCTTAATATTGGATTTGATTTTGATTTTGTAAAAAAAAATAGTTTTATTGTTTTCAAAAAAAATAAAAATTAGGTAACCAAAATCAAAAGTTAGTAAATGTAGCCTTTAAAAAAAAATGATCTTCGCTCTTTTTTGGAAAATCTTTCATTAAAATGTAGCCTTTAAAAAAAAATGATCTTTTTTGGAAAATCTTTCATTAATTTTTTTTTCAATTTTTTATTCTATCTTTTTAGTTTAACTGTTATGTAATTTGATCAAAAAATTTATTTTGTTTATATTTTAACTGTAAATTTGAGAGGGGAAAAAAAGTTACATGAAAATAATGGAGAAAAGAAATATTTGTAACTCGAATTCTATTAACAAAAGTAATAAAATTTAATATCAAGGTGTTTCTTTGTACGAGAGAGTGTTTCTCAAGTGTTTTTAAGCTTTCACGTGACTAGAAAAGATAAATTAAGTTTGAGAAATATTTTTTTATTTTATGTTTTTTAAATTAATTTAAGAGACTTTTTTAGTTGAGAAGTTAGTTTATCGAGGTTATAAAAATATTTTTAGGTGGTTTTATATCAAAATATTTTTAATTTTTTTTTTAGTCCAAGAAAATACTATTAATTTTTTTTAATCAACTCTCTAGTTACTAGAAAATGGACATCTAGATTATCGCATTGTTTACTTCTTTTCTTAAAATTTAAATGGTGCAGGCCCGGGCTTATTTTGAATGGGCCAATAATGTTGGATTATTCATGCTTGTATGTGACAAGTTTTACCTTTTTCTTTGTTTTTCTTGAAAAAAAAATTAATTTATTTAAAATTAATCAATTTAAAATATATAAATATATTATTTTGATAGATTCTCAAATTAATTAATGATAGATTTTAGACACTTTTTTTGCAAGAAACCATTCAATTCTTGTATTTTTTTAATAAGATTATAGCAGTATTTTAATAATATTACCAAGCCTTTTTTAATAGCAACTTGTTGCTTTTATAAGAATGTTTTTACATTACATGGTTCAATAATAAATAATTTTTTAAAAAAATAATATTATTAAATACAGTTAGGTTAGTAATTCAAGCCATGAGTTTACTATTTTAAAAAAATATTATAATTTAAAAAAAAATATTTTTTAAAATATTAACTTGAATTGATTCAAAATATCATTGTGTTATTATTTATAAAAACAAATTATCTTGAAACTTTTTTAAGTCGCTCTAGATTTTTACTAGTGATCCAAATTAGTTTTAAAATCTCTAAATTAATTAATTTATATCAACTATTTGTACGTTACTTGATTTGAAACTTAAATTAGATAAAAAAATCATATAAAAAGGTTTTAAGGTTGATTCTCTATATCAAGTTCAGCAATGTTGTCAAAAAGTTCCCAAGCTATGATATTTTTAAATATAATTGCATGAAAATTATTAGAATGTTATTTTTTTAATTAAAACTTAGTTTTATAATATTTTATAGGAGATAAGAATTATGGTAAAAGTTTTTTTAAAAATATTTAGTATGCCAATGAAATAAATGTATTCTAGTTAAAGATATATCTTTTTTATCTTGATTTTATATCATTCAATTTTTTACAGAAATTTTTTGTTGTTTTTGGTCTTTATTAAAAAAATAACATATAACATAATATTAGATTTTTTTAATTAAAATCAAGGATTTCGATAAAAAAAAACAAGACACATTATTTTTCCAGTTAATTGTTTTTTATCCTACCCGCTTAGATCGGGTCGCAACTAAAGGCAACGTGTTTCCCTTCTATAGAAATCAAGGTTGTTCGGTTCGGGTCTGTCATTAACTCTTGTTATAGTATTTATTTTTAAATTAAAAAGTGGTTTATACTTGTTTTTATTTATTTATTAAATGGATAAAGACTATGCAGAGAACGAAGATGGTTTAACCCATCATAGAGCCATCCCTGTTTCGAAGGATATTTGAATCTTGGTCTCCAAGTTAAATGTCCAGAGAAAAATCTAATTTTTTTTATTAATATAAATATACAACTATGTATTTCGATTAATTCTATAAATTTTAAAATTAATAATTATATAAATTTTAAATTATCTTAAAATTTATAAAACTTAAACTAATAATATATAAAATATAATTTTTAAATTTGATAAATTAAACTAAATCCTTAAAAAAATTTATACACGGGAGCATAAGGGAGCAGCTACCCTCCTTAACATTTTATAAGCATGTTTATGTACATAACATAAATTAGAAGTTGAAAAGGCCCATGAACAGAAGAGGAGTTAAAAAAAAAACAAAACTCTGTGTCTTCGTGTCCAAATAAAACAAATGCATTTTTCATGGAAAATAATCAATTTTTGGATTTTTTTATATGTATTTTATTAAAATTACTACAAAATCTTTTTTCCAGCAACTTTTTTTTATAGAATTTAGGTTATTGTGAGAAAAATATTTTTAATAAAATTATTATAAAATAATTTTAAAATATAAAAACTTGAAGAGAATAATTATAATGTAAGTTTTTTTATTTTAAAAATAAATTATAATATAAATTTTTTATTTTAAAAGTATTCTTAAATCAATTATATTGAATATGAGTTAGTATATATATATTTCAATTTATTTTTATATATAACACATGTCTATATAACACATAATATAAAATATTTGTTAGAAATTTATTTTTTTATTTAAAATTTTTTATGCTGCCCGGCTCTATCTTTTTTTTTTATTAAAGATAAGTTACAATAACTCCCTCATGTGTTATGAAATTATCGTGACCATCTAGTGGTTTAAAAACATTGTAAAAACCTTTTTTATATGTAATACATCTTTAATATTATGGGAATGATTAAAAAATATTAAAGGTGTTTTGGATACAAAGTATGGTTTTTTGCAATATTCACTTAAACGTGAATGAGTTTTTGTAACATCTTCAATTTTTTAGGTAGTCACTATTATTTCATAATATCTCAGCAGATTTTTTTTGTAATTTACCCTTCTATTAATTTTATCAAGAATCTTCAATAATGAAATTGCATTTGGTTAATACTTTCTTTTTGTTTTTTAAAAAATACGACTAATTATTCTGAAGTTTGATAGTAAATAGTGTGTTTGAAATTGTTCTTGGATATTTTTAAAAAATATATATAACATGAAAAAATATTAAATTTTCTTGTTATTAAATTTCTTTCTACGATGACGAGTTCATCCCCTTGTGGATGTAATTGCAATACAACTTCTTTTTTTTAATTTACATGGCTTAGTGCAGCAAATCCAGGGTTCAAATTCTCTTCACGAGATGTGATTTAGAATCACCAGTGAAGTGAATTTAATGTTGTTTTTAAATTATATTTGTATTTAAAAATATATTAAAATATTTTTTTTAAAAATATTTTTCATAATGATATAAAAACACAAAATAAATAATTTAAAACTAAAATAAAATTTTAAAAAAATTGATTGAAGTGCAATACTAAATGGGATCTTTGTAGTGGTTGTGCTAATAACATCTCTAGGATTTTTTATGGTATGTATTATGAATGTTATGGTAAATAATAAATATATAAATAGCTCATACTATTTTGTTTTCTTTTTTCTTATTTATTATGAATGCTATGAAATTTGTATTAAAAAGATATTAGTAAAAAGAGAAAAAAAAACCCAGTAAGACAACGTAACTGTAGAAAAAAGAAGAAGTTTCATACAAATAAATATGTAAATAGAGTCAGCCCATAAGAAAGAAGATAGAAAAAATAAAAAATCAACGTTTTGCCTAGGCATTTTTCACCGCCTGAGAATGTGTTTTATTTTTTTAAAAATTAAATTTTTTATTTATTAAATTTTTATTTTTAAATTGTTTTAATAATTATGTTAAAAAATATTTTTAAATAAAAAATATTATTTTAATATATTTTTAAATTAAAAATATTTTAA